GAGTCATCCTACAACCCTACATCACACAAAGCCACAACTATCAGAACTCTAACACGACGCGCACAACTAGTATGTGACTCGACAGTCAGCTTATCCGACGAGAACAAATACCTTCACCGTGTTTTTACGAAGAACAACTACAACAACGACTTCATCCGACGAAACACTCACCGACCCACCACCACTACCGAAACATACGACACCGCAACCCCTACGACTACAACAACCATACCGTACATAAAAGGCATGTCTGAAAACATCTCGCGCATCTTACTACCCTTCAATATCCGCGTCGCCCACAAACCCATCACCACACTACGTCAGTTACTAACCAACGTTAAAGACAAAGACGAACCGAGGAACAGACAGGGAACGATTTATAAGATCAATTGTTCCGACTGCCAAGCCTCCTACATCGGTGAGACTGGCAGAAACCTCACAACAAGACTGACTGAACACAGACGGGCGACGAGGAAAGGTGATGTCAGCAATCACATTGCTGAACACCATCGACTTACCAACCACAACATTGACTGGGACTCTGCGCAATGCCTAACCTACAGCACTGACTATTTTCAACGACTGACTCTAGAAAGCTGGTTTACTAACTTAGAACAGACTCCCCTAAACAGATGTCAACAACTACCCGCCCCATACAAACGACTCATTCACGACATGAACATCACAAACGACCGAAAAAGAACAACCTAGCTTTACCGACAGACCGAAACAGACCAATCACGACCGACTTACGTCACTTGAGTCTTACAGCCAATAACATCACGGCAAAACCAACCGATCATTTCACACGAACTGGAATAAGAACATTCTACTGACAACAATCATTCACTTGACTCTGATGATGACTTCCGCACAGGTTGTCGAAACGTCAGTCACTGCCACCGACAACAGTCCTTCTCAGGACTACACTCACCCGGACGATCAGACTACACCTTCACATGTCTCAAGATTACAATCCTCCCAATTTTTTAACAAAACAAACTTAGAATTATGCATCATGTTTTACCTTACAGCGGAATATTTCAGCGCTTTTGATTGCAGTTGGAGCAACAGGCACTTTACAAAACAATACCATATATATCGTAATATGATTTTGACACAATAAAGCTACATAACTTAGTACTGTTTCCACGTTTGCCTCGTCCACATGATTACTAATGATCCATTTGCGTAACGGCACACATCCTCTACGTCCTTATGTCTGAATATACAGCATCCGTACCACTAACACGTGGCAGTACTGCCTTCTGTCGATCGAGGACCTGTCAGTTCACCAAGCTCAGCATACTGAGACTCACCAGGTTTTGGTGTCTGCCGGCAATACAAAGTAAAACACACTAAATGTAAGTCGTAGTTGTGCGAAACAGAAACCTTTATGCATTCTTACGACAGCGGTTCATTCAAAAAATTAATTAAATTGTAATAATATTAAGAATGTAACGCTTGGAATGAGAAATCTGCACAACTCCTACATCGACTTTTGAACCATAATTTATTTTCTTTAACAGCGGAGTGCGGTCACGTGCGCGTATAGATGATGGTACAAAGAAAAGTGATTCATTCATTTGATCGTTCGTTCATGAAATAAACTTTACTAAGATCTTGTAACAATTTAAATGTAAGATCCGTTAACAAGAGCTCCCTCATTGCCGAACCTTAACTTATTTTTCTTCTTTGTCTTATCGAAAACTGCATATTGTGGGAGTGGCTCTTTCGGTGCACTTGCTCCATTCCCTCTTCTTCCCTCAGACCTCCTATGAGCAACTTCGTAAGTCACTGGAGGCAAAGACGATGGCTTGGAGGCTCGATAGCTGGCATTAGGACCCGCAGCTGCATTCTGGTTGTCGGCTGAGGAATAACCCGCTTCCCTACAAGTCACAAAAGCTTTTAATTAAATTAGAACCGTCTGCTTCTGAACTGTTAAATAAGGTTTTCAAAATGCTGCAGTTCAACAAACCGTTTATTCGTATTCAAAATGAGTTAAAAAATAAAAAAACACGTACGAACATACACATACATGTATAAGGTGAAACAAATAAATAAAAAGAGGAAAAAAGTGGGGAAAATAAATATGCTTAGAACTTTCCAGGTCAGTTGGAGGCAGAGTCAAAATCGTTCCATCCATATATATTCAAAGTTTCTTTTAAACAGAAACTTAATGAACAAACATAAAAAATATTTGACATTCTCGTAACAGAGTAAAATTCCCTAGCTAGTTCTATACAACACTCACGTCTCCACGTATTGGCCCCCATTAGAGTGGACTTCTTAGATAAGCATGTAAAAAAGAAAACAAACAGTAGGGAGATTTTGCTAGCATGTTGTTTCGTTTGCTTTATACGTTTAAAAAAAGCTTTCGAGTAAATGGTTTCATAATCTAGGTGTCTACATCAATTTTGTTAACATCTCTGACAATTACAGATTTTCAGTGAAAATCAAAGCCCAACGTTGTCCCGAAATTAAATCAAAGTGACACTATAATGAACTTGTGGGTGTATTGCGCAGAAAATGCATATTTTTTTCTTACTAAATGCCAATGATCTGGTGATTTCAAGAAACACAATTGAGCCATAATCCCCACAAGATTCCTACCCGATTGATGCGTCATATTCATCCGCCTGTCTCCCATACTCCTAAGGCAGCACCAATGCCACAAAATACCCCTAAACGCCTCTAAATGCATATTTCTTGTCGCAACCCTTCCCATATTCAGAAGGAAAAAGTTAGTTAACATTGTGACCGTGAATTTTTCAAGGAATATATATGTGTCAATTTAGTCTCTGAAAACCAAGATACAAAACTGATTAAAATTGGACTAAATTCACAATTTAGATTAAAATGTGCAATTCTTACCCTTTGAACTCTTATTTTCCGTGCAACAAGGGCAACAAGGGCAACAAGGTCCAAATTTCCAGTAACGACAGATTTCCAGAACGACAAAGCCAAAAAGAAATGCCACTCCCAACGCGATGAGGAAAAACACCCACCAATCCATCCCTGAAAACAAAATAATAGCGAATATTTGCATGTTTCAAGAAAAGGAGATCGACCACACCTGATTGCTGAACCATATTTCTTACAGGCTACAAGAAGCAGCATGGATCTATCGTAAGCCCTAACTTACCTTTGACGGCTGATATTGTTCACAAACTTTTACATTTGAAATGCATGTAGTGTTTCTATTGGAGGCTGTCCATATCAGTTCTAAACAACTCATTATGTGAATGATCTACACCTGTTACTTTATTAAGTCATTCAAGTAGACTGTTCTAAAGCTCTGAAGCTATTTTAGCCACGGTAGTGGGATGGATGCACATTAACGTTCTCTAAATATATCAAGCAGAAGTTGGTAATGTGATGTCAGCGATGAGGTTATCAGAGCAAATAGAGTTTTAGGGCCTGGCTAAACTAGTAAACTTTGTTGCAGAAACATTATTGCGGAGGAAAATGTTTCCCAGTTTAGCTGCGCGGGAAACATATATCGCGGAAACAAATTTTGCTGCTCGGAGACAAAAATTGTTTTTTGCCTGCAGACAAAAACATTTTTGTTTCCCCGGACACAAATTTTGCGTCCGAAACATATGTTTCCCAGTTTAGCCCGGATGAAAGCAAAGTTGATTAGTTTCCAGTGCCGCTCGCACATTGAAAAATGTTTCCTAGCAACGGCGAGCAGACAACAATTAAAATGGCTGACTGCGAAGAAATTCAAGCAGGTTACGCTCAAAGAAAGGGAAAGGAAAGGGAAAACAATCGGAAAGATGAAGAAATTGAAATGCTAATTACGCTGTAAGAGGAAAGGCCTTGTCTCTGGGACATGGGTCATAAGGACTACATGAACAGGGACAGTAAGGAGGTGGCGTATTCGCAAATTGATCTACTGATGACGGAAAAATATGATATCAGCCGGGAGGATTACAAGACATTTCATCCCTTTCGTTTATACTGTGGAACATTCGAATCTCTAGCAGTGTAACAGACAGATCAGTTAACGCTACCACGAGTACATGTAGACATATAGTTTCCTCGCTAGGGACAAGACCCCGGTTTTTAATGATGACAGATAATAAAAATCATTGTCAATATAACGAACACACAAAAAAAATGATTTACAAATAAATGAAAAGTCCTACCAGACTGCATTCCCGTGACAGTTAACTTGCTGTTGGTAACTATCAAGTATCACACTAGTTCTGTTGGTAACTATCAAGTATCACACTAGTTCTGTTGGTAACTATCAAGTATCACACCAGTTCTGTTGGTAACTATTAAGTATCACACTAGTTCTGTTAGTAACTATCAAGTATCACACTAGTTCTGTTGGTAACTATCAAGTATCACACTAGTCAAACAGCTATGAATTGCTTTAGGTCCTATTTATCCGAACGTAAACAAGTTTGTTCAGTCTCTGGTGTGCTCTCGATCTAGTCCTGCGTCCTTATACAGAGGAGTTCCACTGGGCTTAATTGTAGGCCCTCTCCTCTTTTCTGTCTATATGAACGATCTATCTCTTTTGCTAAGTGAAACTGAAGTGGGCATCTATGCTGACGACACAACTATTTGGTTAAGTGGTGCCGATCGTAATGAGATACAACAAACTCTAAATGCGAATAGCTACCTTAAACTTAATGAAATGCAACCTAATAGTAAAAAGACTAAGTACTTACTTATTGGTACTGCGAAAAAACTTTACTCACAGTGAAATAACTACGTTGGAGCTTTTCTTGGACAACGCAAGACTTGAGGAATCAGCTGGAGAAAAACTTCTCGGTGTTGTGATTGATCCCTATCTTTCCTGGGACCTACACGTTGCCCAAATTGCACTCCACTCAGTTCAATTACCATTATAAATTTGTATTTGTCAAAGATGTTATCAAAATTAATGTAGACACCTTGATTATTAAACCATTTCTCGTAAGTCATTTTTATACGTACAAAGCAAACGAAACAACATGCTAGCAAAATATTCTTACTGTTTTTTCTCTTTTTTTACATGCTAATGTAAGAAGTTCAGTCTAATGGGGACCAAGGCGTGGAGATGTGAGTGTTGTATAGTACTAGCTAGTGAATTTTATTTTGTTACCGGAATGTCGAATTTTTTTATATATTTGTCAATTAAGTTTTTGTTTTAAAAAACTTTGAATATATATGGATGGAATGATTTTGACTCTGCCTCCACTGACTTGGGAAGTTTTAAATATATTATTTTTCCCCACTTTTTTCTTCTTTTTATTTGTTTGTTTCACTGTGTACCTGTATGTGCCTGTCTATCAATGTGTATTTTTTTTTAAATTCATTTTGAATGCGAGTAAACAGTTTGTTAAACTGCAACATTTTAAGAACGTTATTTATTTCAGAAGCGGAGGGTTCTAAGTTAATTAAAAGCTTTTGTGACTAGTAGGGAAGCGGGTTATTCCTCAGCCGACAGCCAGTATGCAGCTGCGGGTCCTAATGCCAGCTATCGAGCCTCCAAGCCATCGTCTTTGCCTCCAGTGACTTACGAAGTTGCTAATAGGAGGTCTGAGGGAAGAAGAGGGAATGGAGCAAGTGAACCGAAAGAGCCACTCCCACAATATGCAGTGGTCAATAAGGCAAAGAAGAAAAGGAAGGTAAGGTCCCGTAATGAGGGAGCTCTAGTTAACGGATCTTACATTTAAATTCTTACAAGATCTTAGTAAAGTTTGTTTCATGAACGAATGATCAAATGCATGTATCACTCTTCTCTGTACCATCATCTATACGTGCTCGTGATCGCACTCCGCTGTTAAGAAAATAACTTGTAGTTCAAAAGACGATGTAGGAGTTGTGTAGATTTCTCATTCCAAGAGTTACATTCTTACTATTATTACAATTTATTGATAAATTAATTTTTTTGGATGAACCGCTGTCGTAAGAATGCATGAAGGTTTCTGTTTTGTTGAACTAGGACTTACATTAGTATGTTTTACTTTGTATCGCCGGTAGACACCAAAACCCGGTGAGCTTCAGTATGCTGAGCTTGGTGAACTGACAGGTCCTCGACAGAAGGCAGTACTGCCACGTGTCAGTGGTACGGATACTGTGTATTCAGACATCAGGACATAAGGGATGTGTGCCGTTACGTAAATGGATCATCAGTAATCAAGTGGATGAGACAAACGTGGAAACAGTAATTGATTTTGTAGCTTTGTCAAAATCATATTACAATATATATTGTATTGTTTTGTAAAGTGCCTGTTGCCACAACTGCAATCAAAACCGCTGAAATATCCCGCTGTAAGGAAACACATGATGCATAATTCTAAGTTTGTTTGTTAAAAAATTGTGAGAGGATTGTAATCTTGTAACATGTTATCGCCGGTCGGATGTTCCACCACTAAGCATCGAAAAACGGCGTGGTTCATATCATATTATTCAGTCACTAGTTTCGTTACTATTCGAACGTTAGTATCTTCGATGTAGCAACATACGAAAAATAAAAACTAGATGGTAAGTACTTTTCCTTAAAAGGGAGATGCAAAGACCCGAAAGCAATTTATAATATTTATTACAAGCTTTTCGAATATAATATTGAACAACTTTGATTCTTCGGGAATTTTTACCATGTTCGTGCTTTGGAGATCAAGAAGCACAGGAATACAAGGCAATTTAAGAAAATAGACAACATTTTTTGGAAACATTTTTCCACAGTTCTTCTGTCACACAAAGTACAAAGTTGAATTTAATGTCTTTAAAAAAATGTTCATGGGACAAAGCAACACTAGAAACAAAGTAATGTGAGCAATTACAAGGAAAGTAAAATTTATTATGAGAAAGTTAATGATTAAGTGTTGGTTGCCTCCCTCGGATGTGAATAGCTTCTTTTCTTTTTTAAGTTTGAGAGTCGAGAAAGCGTGATCTAAGATGCTAAAACATTCATCAGAACATAGAGGACGACATTGTTGAGAATTTTGTAGATGTCTGAAAATGTGAGAGGTCTTATCACTAACCAAGTGCTCGTGCACACATGTGGATAAGTGACGAGAGGTTTCGCCAAAACAGTAAGCATTACAGCCCGCACATAAAAGCTTGTAAACCACACACGTACGGAGCTTTCATTCAAAGGGAGCAATCACACTTAATCATCAACCTAATAATGTTCATTTAAACTTTCCATTTAGTTGCATGTATTGTTTTGTTTCTAATGTCGTTTTGTCCCCTGAGCACTTTAAATTCATCTTTTTACTTTGTATAAATTTGAGCTGAAGATAACAGAATAGCTGTGGAAACATGTTTTCAAAAATGTTGTATATTTCTTTAGCTCGTGACATATCCTGCTATTCAGACCTTTTAGTAGCACAAGAGAACCACATACTGAGCAGTGTCACTCGTAACTTTGCAATCTTCTATATGGTTTCCTTTTGACTTCATAACATCACTGTAGCTTTTTTCCCTGGTGTTCACGGTTTTCTAAGCTCGCCAGTTAATAATTTTTGCATTATTTACAGGAGTGGGTGTAGTTCAGCAGTTTTTAATGTACAGCTGGTTTAACTTGATTAGCGAGCTTTCAATTTCCCCTTAGTTCTTCAGCATGTAATTTTCAGCGGAATCGTAATAATCGCAACATGGTGCCACTTAGTGGTCAAGGAATTGATTTTCTCTTTGTTTTCAACTTCCCACTATTTATCAAATAAATTGCTGGGTGAGTACCTAAATTTTCACGCCAGTCAATTTTTTAAAACAATGCAGTTGATTAAAAAAATTATTATCATACGGTTTGAGATTTGCAAGGAGGTGTGGCAAGTCGAATGTGTGGACTTTCTCATCTGTTTTCTTTTCTTGGTGAAAGTTAGAGCAGACCGTGGATATAAACGAGCGCCTCTAATGTGAAAGGTCATTTCTTTGAAGAGTAAAAGATATGTGAAAAGACTCGCTCAAAAGAAAGTTGTGAGAAATCTTGGGCGAATCTGTCTGCTGAAGCACTTTTTTTTTGTGATGTTTCTATTTTTAAATAATCTTTAAAGATTTCAGTGCTATTTCTAGTGAAGGGTACAACTATTTCATGTTCATTTTTTTAAAGAATGAGAGTTTTTGGAGTAGAATTTCTTCGTATAATATCGGAGATGAGCATAGTGCTTATGAGAATTTTGCATTTGGCATTTTTTGCGTTACGATGGTGACTTCTCTTCCTTTTTTCTAGACTAGTCATAAGGTGAATTTTCCTCGTTAAATTAAGCATGAATTTCTCTTATTACAACTTATGGAAACATTAATAATATGTACGTAAAACTCTAGTGAAGGATCCTCTAAGTATTAGGATTAGTTATCGGAGGTCTGCGATGTTACACGTACTGTAGATAATAATGTTGCTGCATTGTGAAATACGCCGATTGCTACTATCGCAGACCATTCGGACGGATCGGAACTGGTACTATAAAACCGAGGCTTGTCATCCCTAATCAATGGTTTTTCCAGTCGTCGGTTCTGACGATCTCGTGTGACTGCGTTTGTCGTACATAATATTTGCGGTGCTACGCTTTTAACATCATTGGCAATGAAAGATAAGGCCTATGTTTCGTTTCGGATGTTTGGGATTTTTGATCTTAGTGAAATGAACTGCCTCCCCACCATGGTACCATGGTGTTCATTCCATCGGCTGTGGGCACGCAGATGCAACTGTTATGTATAGGGGAATGGACTCCTTTGGCTGGCCACCTGAGTATGAACAAAGGCTGGTAGTTTCTGAAGAAACTGTTTGGGGCTGCGTCGGTGGGGGTAACGAAATGATTTGGATATATCAACAAAGTTGAAATAAATTGGCCACCGTAACGACTACAAAAGCAGACGTTTCGAGCGTTAGCTCTTCGTCGGAGTGAATAGAGGAATT